AACAGTAAAAGCTGGGAAGCTGAAACTTTGAGGGAATGTCCCCTACTCATGTACGAGCAAAATCAGGTGTTTAGAAGCGCCCGAGCCCGCATACGAGCGCGTGGAAATTTTGGCGCGAAAATTACTAACCCGGGAACAGTAAAAGCTAGGAAGCTGAAACCTTGAGGGAATGTTCCCTACGTTTATAGATGTCAAGTTGAAACACAACAGAAAGTAATAAAAGCAAGTGTACGATCGAAATGCACAACCTCACATTACGCTTCAAACTTTCAGGTCACTCTCGAAGAATGCTCAGCTTTCGTAAACACGGACAGGCGGCAATCTGTATTCTATACAGACGCTAGAATTTCCATCAATGCTACGCAACCTGTAGCAGTGATAGCGCATGATTACCTTTCGAATACTGCAGGCGATAGCTCCACATGTTCGTTTTACTCATTATCAAGGATACTGTAGAAGCGTTTAGCACTGCTATTAAAAAACAAATTTTTTTAAGAAATTCAGCCTTTAGAAAAGATTGACGGTGATTTTTTCCTCCAGAACACTCCTTCTAGCACTTCTGTGCTTACTTTTCGCCTCTACTGAACTTATTTGAGGAAGCAAATCTAAATGTAGTATATGATCACTGGAAATGAAGTTTATGCCATTTTGTAGATGAAACTGCGAGTGAGTAGTCTGTGTTTGATTCCTTAGACAGGGATGGGGTGAAAAATGTCTGAGGCTGAAATCAGTTAACCTGCAATTACTGCTTTTTCATGAGCCGATCAGACTAATTGTATGCAAACACAAAAAGCTAGAATAAATCTTAAAAGCACTGTATTTAGAGCTGCCTAAGAATTGTTAAGAGCTCAATGAATTTACGAGTTCCATCCACTACATTCAGCAATTGAATTCATATTTCAGTGTTGCCTACAAATATGGCCGGAACAAGTTACACATTTTCGCTACCCGCACCAGCAGCAAGCGGAATTAGCATTGCATATTTATTGCCTGTCGATAACAGTGTTACTCGAGTAAACATAACTGCAATATACGAATTCGGTGGGAAAACGAACGCGGTTTCAGAGGAACTAAATCTAGTAAGCGCATTTACATTAAGCCTGGTATCGTACGCAGAAATTTGACTTCCATCAATAAAAATGGCATCGTTTCCTACTGTTTTTGCAGTCTTCCCCATTTTTGAGGCTGATGCTTAGGTAAACTGAAAAAAATAAGGTAAAGCTGGGTAGGTGAAGCTGAAAGCTCTACCGAGTTATCAGTATCATATTATGATATCAGCATCATATTATGGAAAGCCTACTTCTGAATACAGGTTTTTGTAATATATTTTCCATTCGCATAAGCTCAGTTTTTATTTGCTTTTGCTTTTTTTAGCGTTTATTCATATGTTTTGATTGTTTAGTTCCTCTTTTTTCGTCTTTTTTTCATAAGTCAGGACTGCTTTAATTTGCTTTTCTTTGTAGTGTTCTGTTGTCTCTTCCTCTTCACCGCTGTCTTCAGCTCTTGCCTCAAACCCCTGACTAGTACCACTGTTCTCAGCCCCTTTCCCTCCCTCAGTTCCTCTCTCTCATGGCAGCATCTGGGCAATCACCGACCAACCATGCCATCTAGTTGCCGAGCTCTGGGTACGGTAATTACTAAATCTCGGGTTGGTCTGATTGTCATTGTGATATGCGCTAACTTCTTTACCGAAGCCGTTTTCGCAGCGTCACTTGCAATGCTGCTTGTCGCTTTGCAAAGAGCGTTGTGTATTCGCTACCCAGAGGGGAGGAACAGGACGTGATTGGTGGGAGGCGGTGTTGTTTGGTAGGTGTCCAAATGTAGTTCCGGGGTACGAATTTGGGACAGGATAGAGGAAAGGAACAAGGATGCAGGTCAGGAGTTTGATGCTAAAACTAGATACAGCAGTAAAAAGGAAAATACAAGGCAGCAATGCAAAGAAAATTAAAAAAAAAATACCTGAGATTATGAAAAAACCCAAGCTGCAACGTGCTAGGCTTTCCAGCTTGGTCATGCATTGTAGCGCTAAACTTGCAGATCGCTAACAGCAGAAATGGTCCCTATGCTGTAGTTTAACACTTGTACTCATATTGGCTGTGTTTTGACCTCTTCTCGCATGCAGGAGGAAAGAGTTTTGACTTCATATTCTAATAATTTCAAATTCAGCCTAAAGATGTGCGCGCTCTGTCCGCGAAAATTTCTTGCTGGAAAGTTGGTAACTAAGGAACCTGGGAAACTAGAAAACTGAAACTTTAAGGAGATGTTTCCTATCTAGATAGAACTAAATGAGTTCAAACCCAACTCCCAGGTGTTCGTGACCCGTGAAAATTTTTGGCGGGAAACTTGCTAGTTGGAAAGATGAAGCCAGAAAGCTGTAATTTTAAGGAAATGTTTTTTCACAGTCGTGGTGGCCAGTCTCAGTTCTTTTAGATAGAACATCTGCAGAGAAAAACAGTGCCGTTAACTACAAAAACCCGCGGGGAGCTGTGCAAAAAACGCATCTTTGCACCAGCAGTGAATGCGTTGGCCAGTCATGTCCACTTACTTTCTTTTATTCCTATCTTCTGACTGACTTTCTTTTAAAGCATTTTTGCCGTGCTAGAGCGCTGCAACAGGCAGCAAAAACGCAAACTGCAACGACCCTCTGTCTGTGTGTGTATGTTTGTGTGCGTGCGTTCGTTTGTACGAGTATTTTTACTCGCCAACCACCGAAGCTTTGTCGCTCAAATTTTGCTAGTGTGTTTTCCAGGAACGTGATATCAACTATCATGCACGTCCATGTCTCACATACCAACACGCGAAGATTTTGGCAGAAAAACTGTTAACTCGGGAGCGAGAAAAGCTAAGAAGTTGAAACTTTAGGGGAATGTTTCTTACTCGCGCACGACTAAAAGATTTCAAATTCAGTTCCTTAGGCAGGGGCACATGAAAGTTATGGCAGGAAAATTGCTGATTCGGAAATGAAGAAAGTTGGAAGGCTGGAATTTTTAGGGAAATTCCCCTACTTTGTGCGACTAAAAGATTTCATATCAGACTCTTCCAGTGGTGTCTTTTTCGCGCAGCAACCTTCAATTTCTCAGCTTTTGAACTACGCTGCAGTTTTTCATGCAGAGCTTTGTTGTTGTGCTTCATTTGCGATGTACTGCAGTTTGCTGGCTCTGATGATGTTCCGTTTCTTGACTTGTTAGGTCCAAGCTATATGCGCCTGGTTAGCAAGGGCTTTGCAAAATAGAGTTTTTTTTTCTTGAGCTTTGTTTGCAACGTGAAACTTTTCCACTGTTATTAAATTTAGCAAGATCTGGAGAAGGCCGAAAATATGATTTTTTTCGTCTCGAAAATTCGAAGCCCGCTGTTGATATTATCGAGATTTTGAGATAATGGATTACTTGCTGTACTATAGGTTGGTAAACAAAGGACGCTGTATGCCTATCAGAGCGAAGAAGCAGTGAGCCTACTCATCCAGAGCGACCTGCCTATTCTGGTGGTTGCTGCTGTGCAACGCCTATCTAACTCCAACTCGAATATGCCCAAAACAAATTTCGACTGCTTTATGCCTGCACCTCTTCTCGATACCGGTAAGAAACTTTTTCAAGCTCCATTCGTCATGCGGCACGGTAAAAAGAGCTAACATGCTAGAAAAGGTAGGATATAAAAATGCAGTGTGATACTTGGGAGACAAAACAAGTACAGCATGAAGCTGGCTGTCTCGTTTCACCTAAGATGGTTTGTGAGGATCAAGTTCAGGCTGAAACGCACCGGGAAAGCCGGTGCGATCATCTGTTTTTGCGCCAAACTTGAAGTAATTAGGTTAACTGCATGAACGGTTGTTTCTTCACACATGCCTGCTGCGCTCAGTACCGTAAATAATCGTAAATTTTGCATAAAAGGAAATAAACAATTTCCGTTTAGCGGCCATTTTTATGCGTTTTTGCTGTGCAGCGCTATAGCAGCGCTATAGCGCTGCTACAGCCAGCA